CTGCGCCACGCGGGCGACTAAGAGGAATCGAAAAAGTGCCCAAAGTAAAGAAAGGGGAAGAAAAGGGAAATAGAAATGTGAAAGAAAGATAAAGGTGCATATTTACAAAAAAGTGAATTAAAGTTGACATTAGCCTTTTGATCACATCTAGTGATGGAGAAAGGAAATTGTCAATCTGCATTTACCACTAAATAATCCCCAAAACAAATACAATCGGAAATGCAAATTGCTACATATTTGGACCTTTACTCGGCACTCAGGGCCATGGAGCAGTGAGGGTTCTTTATCCTGCCAACGCCCACCGTGACACGAGGCCTCGGTTTTTAAGGTCTCATCCGAAGGACCCGCGACTTTCACTTTAAAATGCCGAGGGCTTGGCGAAGGAACAGTTGCTACCTATTTTTCATCGACTTAAGTCAGTTGCGGCCGTGATTCGAACACACGACCTTCCGATCACGGAGCGAGCGCTTTACCGACTGAGCTACCGTGACGGTCAGTATTTATTTGAGGTTTTAGAACTATTTGAATTTGGACTATATTTTAGAAAATGAATGTATTATTAATGACATTATAAGTATTTATTTAAAGCTTTTGATGACAATATGAAAAGTAAGGTAGTCGTATTTTAAAATGAATAATAAAAGAGATCTCTACATTGAAATTGTAAAACTATATCACGCAAATGGAAAAATCAGCAATATTTGTCAATAAGATTTAGAAAAAGAAGTACCCAGATGAGAAGCATCTTTCCAGAAGACAGATTTTCCGGATTATGTCAATATTTGACCAGACTTGGACTGTTGGTGACAAAAGAAAAAGACACGCCTCTAAGGCCAAGGACTGGACGGTCAGATGAAAATATCGAAAAAGTTAAAAAAAAAAAAAAAATCATCCAGGAAACACCATAGAAATAGTTGAGTATTTAAGAGAACTTGCTTCTAACATTTGTTCCTCATCGGTGTGTACGGTGTGTAGAATTTTTAAATACGATTTCAATTAGCACATGAAATTTTGATAATGCTACATCTGAAAGATATCGACATTTGCACAGTGAGTGTTGAAAAACAATGGTTGAACAGAGGTCATATAGTTCTCAGATGAAGTACATTTTACTTTTGATGAACATGTCAACGTGCAAATAATGCGTTTTGGGGGAATGTCAAAGCCCTACTTCTACGAAGAAAGACCACCAGAAAGCCAAATGGTAACAGCTTGGGCACTCACACCGCAGATACTGTGCATAAATGGCTGTCTCACAGGTTTGGAGAGGAGTTCGTTTCCCTACGTTCATACATTGAGTGGCCACCACATTCACCCGATCTTAACCCTTTAGATTATTTTTATGGGGTTATTTAAAAAATCGTGTATACTCACCACCAACCTTATAAGATACTGAAGCTCTGAAAATGGCTATGAAAAAAGAAAAAGACGTATATCCTTTGAGTCTTGCAGAAATGTCAGGAACTTCAAAGACAGAATGAAGCTGGTGACTGAAAACCACTGCGGACATTTGCTTTACTTTTTTCCAAATTTTCCTTGCATAGAATGCCGCATAACTATAGAGAGAGAGAGAGAGAGTTTTAAAAAAAAAATTGCAGTTAAGTTTCCAAATTTTATTTTCTAAAGCTTCTGAAGATAGAATAACAGGCCTTACCGAGGTTTTGCGTGTTTTTCTTTAGTTTAAGTATTTTATGCAGACCATTCAGACTTTTTATTGAATGAGTTATCTTTCCATTTATTTATCTATATAATCAACGTTTATGAGGTAACAATGATCTGACGTCAATTCTGGACGCCGTTCAAAATTCAAAAGCCAATGATTTATCAGTCTTCGTATACATGTATATACTGAAACGCCAAAGAAACGCAACGAGCAGTAATCTACAAATATTTGAACCTTTTAACTAATGATTTTCAAAACTGATTACAGTTAAGTTGAACTCGATTTAAAAGCATCAAAGATTTGATAACAATGTTAAATGATTACCTTTTACTTTAGAAAGTAACTTTACACATGACTGTTAAAACACCCCCTTCTCAGCCATTCAATTATAGCGTGGAAGACTGCCATGCACAACAATTGCAGCTTGATTTCCACGATGCAATAAATTCATCAATCTCGGGTTCTGAGCGAAAAAAAAAAATTCTTTGCCATTTTTAAATGTCCGTTTTTCAGATGATGAAGTCGAATTTTCTCTAACCTAGCTCAGTGTAGTAACACTTGAACTTCCGGTCCACGGACTATCATTCATGCTAATGATATGAGCCTGTTGAGGCGTGTTGTCGTGCATTTTTGCATCTGCAATTCTCCATCACCTTTATTTTCAGATTTTCCAGCTAGAGCACTTGAAATGCGTACTTAAATCATTTTCAGGAAGCCTTGGCATCTCTTCCGGAAACGAAAGGAGAATTTATTTTGCGAAATATTGCTGCATTACTTATGTTAAACAGATACAAACCCTTAAAACCCCATATTTTTGTCAAATGTTTTGTGAAACATGCAATTTTTAATTTCTGTACAGCGAGCTCAAACTTAACTTTCGGTTATGGCGTGAAAATCGTTCAACCGTTAAATTATCGATACTTACAATGTTGAAGATATCCGTACTTTTTAGATACAAAATTATATCCTTTATATGATTTTCCCCTCTAAAATAGGATGTTGTGTTTCTTTTGCGTTTCAGTATTAATTGACTTTGCTTATTGCTTGCGCGCACTTGAGATATTAGGGTTTGTTTTCGCACATCACTCGACTGATAAGGGTAAGTCTATTGGACTGATTATGGGATAGCTTCGCACCCAGCCGAGAGATTTAGGGCGAGTCCTCCCACACTATTCGATTGCGAAGGTTTAGCCTCGCACGCACTTGAGAGATTTAGAGTTGGTCCTTGCACACTATTCGACTGATTTATAGTAAGAAATTTTAAGTTTCCGCTCTCTGACTTTTGTAGGGATGTATGTATAAGGTTGAAATTACATATGCGGGTATTTTACCAGAAATTACAGGTCAAGATTGAATTTGGTCGTGGCTCGATGCTTTATGAAGAGTTACCCGGCCCTCTTCAATTTAGAAAAAATAAGAAATATCAGTTTCCGTTCTCTTACTTTTGTAGGGATGGTATAATGTTGTAATTGCATTTGCAGGTATTTTACCAGAAAATACAGGTCAAGTTAGGATTTAATTGTGGTTCCATTATTTTTGACAGAGTTATCCCTCTTGAACTTGGAAAATATTTTAAAAATTCACAATTCCTAATCATTATCTCGGCTACAAAGGTACACTTTAAAATTTGAATGTGAAATTTTGGCTGCCTGCGAGGGCATTTGTGGCGTTATAAAACATCTTTAAGTAGATTTTATTATTATATTTAGTATTTATGTACTACATGAAATGATCGATGCATACTAAATCTTAATGTAAGGGAAATTTATTTATTTTTATTCATTTTAAACTATGCATTCACTATCAATTAAAAAATTCTAATATTTCAAAATAAACACAATAGTATGAGATTATTTTGAAAACTATCAATTTCAAATTTATATTATTTATATGAAATATTGATCTATTAAACTGTATCAAAAAAAATAATAATAATAATAATAAAATTAGATTACGCCTTCATGAAAAAAAAACAATTACTTTAGCAAATATGAGTGAAAAATTCTCGAGAGGGACGTTAAACAACATACAAACAAACAAACAAAACAGAGTTATACCCCCTTTCCATTGTAATTCCCATAGCTAATTAATTCATGCCGAAATTATATTTTTCTTTTGCAGCAAATTTTGTACGTTATATTTATCTTACGTCAATATCATTTGCCTTGTAATTAGTTAGAGTCGCCCGCGTGACATAGTGGTTAGAGCGTTTGCTCTGGAGTCGCGGTGTAAGGAGTAGATCATTACGTCGCAGGTTCGAATCCACTGCGGGACGTGGAGACCGGTCCTTCGGATGAGACCGTATAAACCGATGTCCAGTGTCGCAGTAGGTGCTGGGACGAAAAAGATCTCTCACTGCTGAATGGCCCTGAGTGCCGAGTAAAGGTCAAAATTTGCAGTCCTCCAACGGCAAGTGGTGGCGTCTCAGTTTAAATGAAAAATTCTCGAGAAACGTTAAACAACAAACAAACAAGCAATTAGTTCGACGTTACGCTCATGTCTTCACTAAACTGAATGGACGAAATGGTTGTCCCACCTTCATGAATGTCAAAAAAGTACTCGGCCGTCCTATCATACTTTGCAAGGGTCCCACCCTAGTGATAAAAAGGCCAGGCCCCCTAACTTCTTGTACACACAGCTTAATCTCATTCTAATAAAGAGGACGTATTGTGTTCGGGATATTAAATTCTGCATGCTTCAATTGTGCTATGTTACCTTATCCAACGAGGTACAGTCGATTTTGTTAACAGACCAGAAACATTGCGTGATTGTATCAGTGTGTCTTAGTTTACTTTGCAGAATTAACTTAATAAATGTTAAACACTTTCAGGAAAAATGAAAATAAATCTAACTATAATTAAATTTAATATATAAGACATTAACGAGAGGAATGGTTACAGTGTTACATATTATCATGACTTCTGCAGACGAATTATGGGAAAATGCACAGTATTATTTCCAATGACCTCGTTTGTTTATTTTAGCTCAGAGTAGACGTCTTTGATAACAAATCTTTGCAAAAATTAGTCTTTCAAAGTAGTTATAACTCTCAAAGTTATGCAGTCAACACTGTACAGAAATGAAATAACGTCACTGATAAGACCGCATTCCATAGATTTAAACCTCTACTTTTCATTTAGATTCTGTGAAGACTAAAGTAATAAGTACTACGAAGGACAAAATACCTTCTTCACAGTGTCCGATTACCTGTGTCATTATACGTGCAGTTTATGCACCTGCTGCAGTATTTCCAACATAACATTGCGACATTTTATCAATTTTGCGATTTTATCACCAATACTTGTGGGTTTCTGTGCATGGCGTTTCTGTAAATATTTTGCCATATACTGAAAAGTCGATAAATTTTGAAGGCAGAAATAATGGGACAGTGCCTTGGGAAACTGGACGATCGACATTTACCTAGGGAAACGGTAAGATGTGTATAATCTTTTGGATAAAAAAATTTTCTTTCTTAAATATTTCTGTCGAGAAAAAAAAATATCTATAATGATTATATTAAAAACGGCATAGTATTAAAACTGGTCTGGAAAGTCGATAAATTTGGAAGCCAGAGATAATGGGACAGTGCCTTGGGAAACTGAACGATCGACATTTACCTAGAGAAACGGTAAGATGTAAGTAATCTTTTGGATAAAAAAATTCTTTTCTTTCTTAAATATTGCTGTCGAAAGAAAAAAATGTCTATAATGAATTATATTAAAAACGGCATAGTATTAAAACTGGTCTCGCCCCACTGGTCTGACCTAGACTCTATCTTGGCCTCTTATTTGACCCCAAACTAGTTTTTTGGCCAGGTCTCAAATTTGACCTCTAGAAAAATTATTTGCTTCAACTAAAATAAAACTTTCCCGAATGGTGATTAATTTCATTGATTTTTTTATTGGTTTAAGTTTATCAGTGTTATATGAGTTAAATGATAATATTTCTGGTGTTTTGTAAATATACACAATAAAATATGTCATTGATTTTATTTATTACATGTATCTTATGATCAGCTGATTGTTACACTAATTTCTTTCCAAATCATTTATTTTTTCCCTTCCAAAGCAAAGTATCAATTATGTATTTTCATAGCACGTGTACTGCAATCTTTAAATGTTTCTGATGAACCTAACCGGGTTTTTTTTATAAAGTTTTTTTGTAAATTTAATTAAAACAGATACATATGGAATGTGAGTTTATCAATTTCAGAGGCTATTAAAGTGTTGCACATTCAAATAAATCTAACACATTTAAATAAATCTGTCGTTATAATATTTTAATATCAGAGCTGCACTTATTAAAAACAGGGCATATGGTCTTGTTTTGTTTTGTTTTTTTTTTTTTTTTGGTAGTCTGTTGCATTTCCAAACCTTTTGCAAGTTGTTTTCAATCCTTGTAGGAAAAAGACAAGTTCCCATGTTATGGGAGCCTATTTTTTTTTTCAGTAGAAACTAAAACTATCTCTACTATAAGCTCTACTGGCCAGAGACCAGGAGAGCTAATGCAACATTAAGGTGTCCATCGTTTGTCTATCTGTAAACAATTTTTCAAAATGTTACTCTTCCTACAGTTTTGGTCTTATTTCAATATAATTTGGCAAAGATGCATAACTGTGCATCGGTTATTGATTTTTTTTTGTTGAAAATACAATATCATCTTAAAATGGAGAATGCAGACACTGTAAAAGTTTCTGGGAAGATGGATCACCTTAGGAACAAGTGATTAATAGCAGGTATCGTGCTATAAACACTTAACTTGAAGCATGGAAAGCGACAAAGTAAACCTTAAGAAGAAAGGCTGGGGATCTACATTAACAGGGACAGATTTTAGAAAGGTAAACAGAGGCACCTGTTGCTCGTATTACACAAACCATTCGATTCTTACCCTACCCAACCCATCTACAGAATCTTATATTTTTATCATGCTCGACTTTGTAACTCGAATGTTACAAAATGTTCTGGATGCCAAGGCTAATCAACTTACAGATTCTTCAAGAAAATTTGGTCATTGTTTCCAAATTGAATTCCTCTTTTAAATGATAACATATATAAACCAATAAATTGCATTTCTCATTTTTTTTTTCTGCCAGTGACTTGAATTTTTAGATGACCATGGGTTATGTTCATGAGCCACCTTCAACTTTATTGCGGCATGGGAATCCATCCATTTTTATTTTATTATAAAGTTATGAATTCAACTCAAATTAGTCAATGTTTTTGCAAGTGACATTGAATTTGACCTTGAATCAAAGTTAGAGCTTAATTCAGGTCATAAATCCTACATTGTATTGTATGTACATGTAGAATATAAGCTTCTAATGTTTCTCAGTTACAAAGTTATTGTCTGCTTTGACGGACAGACTAATGGTCAGACGTGTAATGACCCCCCTCCCCCCATCAAAAATAGTTTTCGTTAAAATATTTAAATATGATTTTCATTTTACTAAAAAAATGTAAAGTTTAACAAAAAATCGGAACGGAGAGAATAGAGACTGTATCAAAATTAACGATTGTTTTTATTACAGCAAAAGTTTGGTTAAATGACAATAATAGCTAGATTTTCAGGTCTGAAGGTATCGTTTTTTAAAGATAGTTTCCATGGCAATGGAATGTCTCATCAATTTAAAATATGTTTTCTCAGCAGTACACTTACGTTAACATATCCCAAAGTATAAATATAGACATTTACTGAAGAAATTATAGATGCAATCACAAAGTTTTTTTAAATGACAATAGAAGCTAGATTTACAGGTCTGAAGGTATACGTATTTAAAGATGGTGTCCAAGGCAACGGAATGGCATTTCAATCTAAAATATACATCTATTTTCTTGGTAATACAGTCACCTTAGCATATCCCAGAGTATAAATATAGACATCCACTAAAGATATTATAGATGCTACCAAAATTAAAGTTTTAAGGTATGAATAAATACATTTTTGAAGATGGTTACCATGGAAACGGAATGCCTGATCAATTTAAAATATATTTCCTTGGTAAAACAGTCACTGTGACATACTAGTATCCCAAAGTATAAATATAGACATTTACTGAAGACATTATAGTTGGTATCAAAATTAAAGATTGGTTAAATGACGATAGATGCCAGATTTTTAGGTCTAAAGGTATGTGTTTTTTTGACGATGGCAACGAAACGCCTGAACAAATTAAAATATATCTTTTAAGCAACACACTTGCCTTATCACAGTAAATATAAAAATTTTCTGAATGGGGGCCTAAAATGGCCCAAACCATATATAGTTCTTTAATGTATAAAAATTACAACATGTAAGACATATCATTTAGCTGCTATAGATTTGATATTGCATTGAAAAACCTAAACAAAAAAAATCTGAAATCAATCACAACTCTGAAACAAAAAAAAAATTAGCCGAAGTCATAATTTTTTTAGAGACCAAATTTGAGACAATACCAACTTTGAGGTCAGAGCAAAAATTAGTTTGAAACCAAATAATAGCCCATTAATAGAGTCCAGGCTAGTGGTCAGGTTTTATAGCATGCCATTATTATCATATCACTTATGGATAAATAACCAATCAAACTTTTTTTCACAATTCAGGAAAGGAAAATTTACTGACATATGGTCATTATTTGAATTAATTTAAATGAACGAACATAGAACAAGAAATTTTATTTTGCTAATAGTATCAGACGTCAAGAAGTCAAAGATCTTAAAGGTGCTTAGACACAGATTTGAAGTTAATATTTACTCAAGTTTTCTGTATAATTTCATGACTTTTATGTTGCTATAGTATATTATATGAATATTTGATAAAAATCTTATTTTATCTGGAAGTTATTGAAATTTTGAATTTCTGGACGCGTTTGATAGACACATCCTTGCACTTTCAAAAATTTTAACTTTATCCTTATTACTTTAGAAAAGTAGCAATTTTGGTGTTTATTAATGAAAAATATTAAATTATAATGCAGAAATTTCAGAGTAGAAATGTAGAAAGCGAAATCCTCTCACCAGTATTGTCAGTCCGTGCTCAGTGGTGTGTGCAGAGTTTACCAATTGAACACATCCCGTGAAACGTAAACATTAACAACAACAGAGCTCGTGCCCTGTTTACAAAAACAGTTTACGTTTCACGGGTGTATTCAATTTGTTAAACTCTGTACACATCTACAAAACACTGAGCACGGGCTGACAATACTTAAGTGAGTGGGTTTTGATTTCGTACATTTTTACTCTGAATTTTCTGGATTATAGATGTAATATTATTCATTTATACACAACAAAACTGCTACTTTTCTTAAGTATTAGGATAAAGTTAAAAATTGTGAAAGTGCAAGGATGTGTTAATCAAACGCCTCCCGAAATTCGTAGTTTCAATAATTTCCAGATTAAATAAGTTTTTAATTTTATTTTCGTGTGAAATGCTATAGCAACATATCAGTTGTGAAATTATACAGAAAACTTGAGAAAATATAAACTTTAAATCTGTGTCTATGCACCTTTAAAGTCGCACGAACGTTTAAAGTCATCATTTCGTAAGTTCTATGGTCGATACAATGACCTTGTCGGCAAATACAATTTATCATTGAGTCAACTGCTGACTGACATTTTTCATACTAATTGTTAGGTCATTATTTACACACTGAATTGTCGACGGATTTTTCCGTTATTTCCCGATCATGACAAGGAGCACAGGGCATGTGTGACCTGTCGGCAGGGGATGCTCATTCCTCCATGACACCTGATCCCACCTCTGATGTTTTGGAGGTCCGTGTTTGCTCTGCACCTATTTTGTACTGTTTAATGGACTTTTGAGCTTCAATACTATTCGTTATCTCCATTTATTTCAATTTGATTTGATTTCAAAATGTGAAAAGGAAAATTTTATGAGTCACCTTAAGTTTATCATATATAATTCCTTAACCTAAACTGGTTCTTTATTGTGGATCAATACTTGCCTTGAGAGGGGCGGTTTAATCAAACTTCAATTCTTACTGCATGAGCTTGCTGGCCTATACATTTCTTTATGAATAGCCATATAGTTTTTCAATTTACGGGTTTCAAATATTATGCCCATGAAGGATGACTGCACTTAACGCCGTGCTTTGGGTCTCTTTCGGTTGCCTCTGTTGCTTTTATGTCAAAACAGAATTTCACTATTGCTTATTTACTAGACAAATCTTGTCAATTTGGAACCGAATTTGAATATTTAAATTGATTCTATGCTTTTTTTTTTTCCTTACAGCTTTCCATATAAGAAGAATTTGCCCTTAATTGAACATTAAGTTGATAAACATATGCATAAAAGGTGGATCTAACATTGTAAAAATGGGTCTTAAATTAGACTAACATAAATAATAATAATGAGAAGTATAAAAACGTGATCACTATTCCCTATCTTCCTCTCTATTCTGTATGGCATAAGTACATGTACACTATTAACATCGCTCTGAAGGAGAGGGGGTATACTGTTTTACCCTTGTGTGTTTGTCTGTCTAGCTGTGTGTCTATCTGTCCATAACAAATTTTTCGTCACAGTTTTCTGAACAACTACTCATATGCTTTTAGCACACACTCTGTTGAGGGATGCCATATGGTGGGATTCATTTCTGTACGAATCCAATGTCAACTTCCTGTTTATCTGTGCGTCTGTCCGTACCATACATAACAAATTTTAGTCGCAGTTTTCTCGGCAACTACTGATGCAGATGCTTGAAATTTTAGCTCATTCTTTGTTTAGGCATGCCATATCGTGGGATTAATTTTTGTACGAATCCGATGTCAACTTCCTGTTTATCCGTGCGTCTGTCCGTACCATACATAACAAATTTTGGTCGCAATTTTCTCAGCAACTACTGACTGCAGATGCTTGAAATTTTAGCACATTCTTTGTTTAGGTCTGCAACATGGTGGGATTCATTTTTGTACGAATGTGATGTCAACTTGTTCATCCTTGTGTCTCTCCATAACTGAACTTGTGTACATTCACATCAAAGCAGGGGTATTACTAGTGAGCATTGGCTCACAGACTCCTTGTTTTTAAAATTCAATGCCTAACAATTCACGTTTACAAACACAATGTCCTAGTTAGTATATAAAATGCTAGCTTACACGTCACGTGACGGAATTTATTGCTAGCGCTCTCGAGCAACTACGTTGGTCTTTTTTTTCTGGAATACGCATGCTTGACTTCATGGTAGGGCCTTCTGGGAATACCTAACCTTGTGAATTTCGTATTAGCATTTGAAAATACATATGATCTGAAAATTTTGAAACCCCTTGTGACCCCGAACCAGCAGGTTACCCCATTCTTTGAGGAAGTGTGTGTGGGGGGAGGGGGGGTTGAAGAAGTTTGAATATATATATACAATGATATATGATATATATCATAGCTTGAGACAAATTGTAATGTTCTCCAAATGAAAAAAACTTTCATGTTTTTTTTTTGTCAGTTTTTAAAAGAAAAATTTAATGGCCCGGCATTTTCAATTTTACTATTATTTGCTTACTAGAAATTAAATGAAAACAAAGCTATGCATATTTTATCTTTTAGTATCTGAACACTGAAATTTTAATGTAAAGGGGGGGGGGGGTCTTCGTATTCTTCAATTCTCTAAAGTCCTGTCTAGTTATAAACATCACAAAATTCCTAAAATTATTTGCCAAGATTTTACAAGTATCTCTATAACGTCTGGTAACTTCATGTATGGATTCAAAACATATTTACTGTACTTAATCTAATATTGACTAAAGTAGACAACCTTGGCAAACTCGAGTAATACTTTACATAGACTGGTGATGTAGTACCCTTTAAGCAAATAGTTTGTGTAATAAACAGGCGGGGGGCTGCCATATCTAACCCGACAGTCTTATCGATATTGCGTTAAGCAATCTGTCGCGGTGCATATTGATCATTACAATTGTAGTTGACCTGCAATTCAAACAAAGATATTGCAATTCACTGCATGTTTTGAATAGATTGCTACCTACAAAGAGAGATAACTCGTACGCCCCCACCCTCTTCCCTCCCATTATATGAAGGGTGGGAAAGAACTCTGTTAGGGAAAAGGATAACAACCATCAAGAAATATACTTTTTTTAAGAAAACACACCCACATTTCAATGTACTCCTTATGAAAAAGCTTTCATATTTTTTCCAGGCACTGTAGTTTCTGACAGGATTTTTAAATGGTCCGGTCTATTCAATTTAATTATTTCTTACTTATCACCCTTTATTTAGCTCAGCTGGGCTGAAAACTCAAGTGAGCTTTTCTGTTCATATTTTGTCTGTAAACTTTTCACATTTTCGACTTCTCCAGAACCACCGTGCCAATTTCAACCAAACTTGCCACAGAGAATCCTTGGGTACAGGGGATTCAAGTTTGTTCAAATAAAGGGCCATGCCTTCTTTCAAGGGGAAATAATTCAGAAATAGTGAAAATCTGGTGGCTTTTTAAAAAAATCTTCTCAAGAACTACTGGGCCCTTCTCCTCAAGAACTACTGGGGCAAAAAAGTTTTAAACTTATAGGAAACCTTCTTTACATAATATGGATTCAATTCGTATGATGACCCCTGGGGGTAGGGTGGGGCAACAATGGGTTTCAAAAAATGTAATACAGGAATATATAGGAAAAAAACTTTGAAAATCTTCTCCAAAACAGCAAGGCATATTGATAAGGAAGCATCCTCAGGTAGTGTTGATTCAGATTTGTTCGAATCATGACCAATGGGGGTAGGGTGCGTCACAATCAGGGATCAAAGTTTTACATAGCAATATATAGGAAAATCTTCAAAAGTCTTCTTCTCAAGAACAGCAAAGACTTGTGTAGTCATTTTGAAATGGAAGCATTCTTACATACCGTAGATTCAAGCTTGTTTAAATCATGACCCCTGGGGGTAGGGTGGGGTCACAAAGTCTTATATAATAATAGAGTAATATGTATGAAAAATATTCTATATTCTGCTCAAGAACAGAAAAGCTATGTTTAGTCATATTGATATGGAAGCATCCTCATGTAGTGAAGATTCAAATTTGTTCAAATCATGACCCCAGGGGCTGGAAGGGGCCACAATAGGGGTTCAAATTTTTACAAAGGATTATTTAGGAAAAAATTTTCTTTTCAAGAACACAAAATTATTTCTTATATTGATATGGAGGCAACATTAGGCAGTGTTAAAGTCGAGCCCCCCCCCCCCCCCCCCCCTCATAAAAACTTTTCAGTTTTCAATACTGAACTGATTAGTGATTTTTCCTAGCATGTGCTCAGGTGAGCGATGTGGCCCATGGGCCACTTGTTTAAAACGTACTTTGCTCAAACTTAAATCCTAATTACAAACAAATACTTAGTAGTAAATTTGGATAAAACTACATTAGTTCTGGAGAAGCTTAATGTATGAAATCTTTGCTAAGGGCAAAGAATACTAGACGGGTAACTTAGATAGACTACAAATTAGAAGAGGACACAGCTATTATATTTGTTAACTCTGACATCTTCTTCATTCATGGATTTAAATCATATTCAATTTTTCTGAATCTAAATTAGCCAAATTCTTGAGAACAGTTGACATGAGGAAGAAGGCCAATCTTGGCTAACTCTTGCAATAATTTAAATACACTGGTGGGCCTTTTAAGTAAATTGTGTTTGTAATAAACAGGCGAGGGACAGCCATGTCCACAGAAGCGTATTAGGGCCCTAATACGCTTCCGTACATATCAATATTGCTTAAAGCAATCTGTCGCGGTGCATATTGATCTTTGATATAGAGTTCACCTGTGATTAAACCAAACAGATTACAATTTACTGCATATTTTTTTATGAATAGATTATTACTTACAAAAAGAAATTACTCATAAAGGGTGGGAAAGAACTTTGTTAGAGAGAGGATAAACAATCATCAGGACATATAACAAAAACATACACACACAAATATTTATTAAAATAGAGAGAAAAAAATTAAATACAAATAAATTATTAGGTCACATGAGTCAGTCGGGCGACCTATTGCTATCTGTTTTTGTCCGTCGGTCGTAAACTTTTGAACATTTTCAGATTCTCTTGAAGCTTAACCAATTTTGACATATAGCATCAATTTCATGGTTCTTTTTCTTGCCAACGCCTACCATAACACGGGGCCTGGGTTTTAAGGTCTCATCCGAAAGACCCGCAACTTTCACTTCAGAGTGCCGAGCGCTTGGTGGAGGAACAAGCACTACCTATTTTTTTATCGACTTAGGTCAGTCGCAGCCGTGATTCGAACACGACCTTTCGATCACAGGGCGAGCGATTTACCGACTGAGCTACCGTTTTTTTTTTTTATCCCTGATCATCTGATTTTTCTTGCTTTGGATAACATATATGGACCATCCATCAGTTTATTTTTGTTTTATTTTACACTTTTGTGGATCCTTTACAATTTCGTATTATACTCGATGACCTTTAAGGCCTTTGGGCCTCTTGTTAAAAAATATCCGGTCTATTTTAAAGAATTCAACATTAAATAGTAACCTTAATAGTTTTTTTATCTTCTTTTTTTTTTTTTTTTTTTTTTTTTTTTTTTTTTTTTGATCAGGTGACTTTTTCCACACTGAGTCCGCCCCAAGCATGTGCTGCTCCAGCAATACCTCCTCGGATTCCTCTGACCAACATACAGAGACAACAACAAGGAAATAATGGCCAATTCTCCATCCAGTTACAAAATCAGGTAGAAGTGCAACTAATTCAACCGAAGACTCGTTATATTGATTGTTTGTTTGTGTGTGTGTGTTTAAAGTTCCTTCGAGAAGTTTTCACTCATATTGAGACACCATCTCTTGCCGGTGGAGGACTGCAAATTTAGACCTGTACTCGCGGCATTTGCACAGTGAGGGATCTTCAGCATCCCAGCAACTACTGCGACATGGGACCTCGGTTTACATCCTTCAAGTCCTGCAGTGGGATTCGAACCCGCAACAAAAGGATCAAATCAAATCAAACTCCACAACTCTAGAGCAAAACTACTGCGCCAAGCGGGTCGACTTTGTATATCATAAACATACCGGACATTACACTTTTTATGTCTTTAAACCACTTCAGAAATGTATATGTTTTGCAGATGAAGCAAAGTCTCCCCAAAAATGATCCTCGAAATAATTCATTGACCAATTCTACATTTTAGTGTTTAATTTTTTTCTTCCAGGAATATCCAGAACGAGTCTTAGTAGCCGCTATAGATTTAGGAACCACATTTTCTGGCTATGCATTTTCGTTCCGTCACGATTATCTTTCGGACCGCTTGCGGATCAGTACCAACCTCTGGCCACATAACAATGGAATGTCACTGAAAGCACCAACCTCTATCTTGTTAGATCAAAACGGAGTGGTGAAAGCATTTGGATACGAGGCCATCAAGATGTACGGTGATTTGGCCGAGTATAACCAACATACTGCATACTATTTCTTCAACAAGTTTAAAATGAATCTTTACCAACAAGGAGTAAGTATTTAAGTATTATTTACAATCTAATATGAAATTAACAGAAATGAAATGAAAAAATAAAATCAAACAAACAATTTCTTTTCTTTCTTGGTATGGTTGTGGTTGATTTTCTTTGATGTTTCATACAAAATAAATTCTGATATTCCTGCAAAGTGGCGGAGCTTATACAGTGAGGTATCAAATATGAAGAAGTATATGAACATCTAAACGTTTAAATCAATGCCACCTGCAAAACTAAACCTACATCAACGCACGCTACGGAAAATTCCACATATTTAACGCCAAACTATCTTCCTTCATTTTTACTTCAAATTCCATCCATAGCTCTCAGGTGTCGCACGTTATATGATGATGAGCGCAAGATGCAGTTCGGTAATAGTGGGAGGGACTTGCCAATGTGCCACGTGATTGAAGATTGACAATTTGCATTTATTTCGATATCACTTGATATCTTCATGAATTGGACATGTTTGTTAGTGTGAATTCGTCCCAATCCATCAGAATATCACGGATACCGGAAATAAGTTCCATAACTGTAACAAATGAGTTTTAAAATTCTGTTAATGCTCGCTTATTATATTTCAGGGACTTTCAACAGACTTGAAACTTCATGATATCTCTGGGAAGACAATGGCCGCAGTTGATATTTTTGCAAAAGTTATTGGATATTTAAAGCAGCACTTGTTAACCCGAATAAAAGACATAGACTCGAAACTCACCTTGTCTCCCAGTGACATTCAATGGGTTGTGACAGTTCCTGCTATATGGGATGACAAAGCCAAATTTTTTATGAGAAAAGCCGCTGAGAAGGTAGGAGACATTATATATACTTGTAATTTCTATGGGTTAAAAATGGAATTGCCGTACGTAAAAATGATTTTCATAGCTATTATACTCCGACTAACTTCCAAGCTCTATTATGTTTGTATTTGAAATTCATAGAGATTATAATTTGCTTGTTGTGCAATGGATGGTCAGCTGGACACGGTGTTTCAAAGCCAAACTATTGTTTATTACTAGGCTGGCATTGAAGGTCGAAATTTGACCTTAGCTCTCGAACCGGAAGCAGCATCTTTATTTTGCCGGTACAGCCCTACTTATCAGAGCAATGTCCAAGAGAACACCCATATATTTGACATTTTCAAACCAGAAACAAAATATATGGTTGTTGACCTGGGTGGTATGTTTTTTTCTTTGATTCCGGTTTAGCACATTACTCTTCGAAAGCAGGAGACAAACTTGCAGAAATCTTAAAGCCAAACCTTGCACTTTATTAAACTATCAAAAATTACCAATGTTTGAACATATCGAAATTAAGTAAATCTTTTCAATATAACATACATTCAGTTTGATATTATGTAAATTTTAAAACTTTTATTGTTATATCCCAAAGGTGGCACAGTGGACATCACGGTTCATTGCGTTCACGAAGGTGGTGCTCTAGAAGAACTGTATCAACCTACAGGTGGTTATTGGGGCGGCACAACTGTTGACGACGAGTTCTGTTCCCTCCTTGTGGGAATTTTTGGTCAAGAAGTGTATAAAGAATTTCAAGATAAATTCACATCTGATGTGATTGAACTATTTCAAGAATTTGACGTAAAAAAACGCGTTTTTGAACCAGGACAGAATATGCCTGTGTCAATTAAGATATCTGCTTCTTTAGTCGAGTTGTACAGGAGACACGCTGGAAGAGAAATTCAGGAAGTGTTAAACACTCAACAAACTCAAGACGTCAAAATTAAGAGAGATAAGCTTCAGATTTCTCCTCAAGCTTTTATTCACTTATTTGACAAGTCCATTTCCAGTATTGTATGTCACATTCAAAGCTTACTTGAAATGACAAATGTCTCGGGCGTAACTGCTCTTTTATTAGTGGGTGGTTACGCTGATAGCCATGTTGTCAGGGACGCTATCGTATATCACTTTCCGAATCTTCAAATCATCCATCCTCAGGAGGCTGCCTCCACTGTTCTTAAAGGAGCAGTGTTATTTGGACACGAACCCCGAGCTATCGAGGCAAGAGTATGTAAATACACATACGGTATCGCAATGTCTGTGCCGTTTAAAGAGGGTGTTCACGATCCAGACAAAAAGAGATTCGTTAATGGAGAAGTCATATGTGACGATGTGTTCGATGTCCATCTTCAAGTTGGCCAGCAAGTGTCTCTGTCAGGTACTCGGAGTGGAAAACCTTACAATGTCTACAGTGGACAGTCGCACTCTTTACTAGAAGTCTACGCCTCCTCTGTACCGTGTCCAAAGTACGTCACCGAAAGCTGGTGCACAAAAATAGGATCAGTGGTTCTCGAGTTACCTTCAGATATGAAAGAAGATGAAAAAATTGTTGTAGGTCTATATTATGGCGGAACCGAACTGGGGGTTTATGCCTGGAATTCAAAAACTGGATCACAAACCCATGCCTTTTTCGATTTTTTGGGATAAAAATAATTGTAGTGATTTTGTTTGAGCAAACCAATCAAAAACTACATTCATGCTTCTAATTATCAAAAATTGAAGGATAAACCTCAAGACAATCGCTTGCATCTATTCAAGGAGGGAAACCTGAATTTAACATTTTGAAACTTTTTTAAATCAGATATCCACGTTATTCTATACTTATCATTAAGACTGTATGTCACTTGTGACTTTGATTCGATTGAAATGCAAAGAGATTCTTTGACTGGATTTGAAATTAACTGCGATTTATAAAAAAAAAAAAGAAGCTTTATAAGAACCCTTAACATTTCCAAGCAAGATAATTTACTGGAAAATTACTTTATTGTTTATGGTTCATATATGTTCATATTCTTCGATAATTAGATTAAATAGGCAAAATAAAGCAAACCGAGATATGTAAAACCTATAATTCTGTTCCACACTTTCAAACTTTTTTTAGGAAGCCCTACGCTGGTCTATATTTATTGCAAATTCGTTAAACACATTTAAGTCTGGAAAAGTAAAAGATTTTGGCATGGTGAAAACTCCTTCAACATCTTGAATCCCTGTAACCACAACAATTGTTGATTAATTACTATTATATCTAAAGATGCTAGAATTATTTTTAAAGCAGTTTTTAGAATGAACTCTAATTTAGACGTTTAACCTGTCGCGGTAACCTAGTAGTAGGGGGCTCGCTTCGTGATTGGGAGGTGCCGGGTTCGATTCTCGTTCCCGGGGCCCCAACAAACCTAAGACGTATAGGAAGTGGCTGTTCCTTTGCTACGCACCCGGCACTAGAAGTGAAAATCACTGGTCCTTAGACCTTAAAAACAGAGGACCGTGTCACGGTAGGCGTTTGCACGATTAAGAACCCTCACTGCTCAGTCGCCTTGAGTGCCAAGTAAAGGACTAAGGAATCCCTTCACCGGTTTTATCATGATGACGTCTCAGTTGATGAAAAATTCTCGGAAGGGACTTAAAACATCAAACAATCTTATTACGTGTCCTGCACACTCCATGACTTGTGACGTCTATTCACTGACGACTAGCCTGGCACCGCTTTTAAAAGAGTCTTACAAAGGCTTCAAAGATGATGGTTTCTAAATGGAAAAGTATGCTTTGAACTGAGAGGGACATCCTAATTAATCATAAACAATGAACTGAACACATGGCACAATCATGGGGTGACCGAAAGAAAAAAAACTGTTGATATTTTCAATAAAAGAGCAACAGACCTTTCGAGTTTTGTAGCTTATATAATAATTAGAAGATAATAGGTATATCTATGAGAAAACTTTATATTATTTATACTTTAGGCTAATCAGTACGTTTGTTGTGAAAATGATTATTTTTGCATACTGATTTATGCGTTTCAATTATACCTATCCCATTGTGTGTTCATAAATATTGGTAACTAGAGTGTTTCAAGGAACGCATGTGTCGCCTGCTTTGTAGCTTCATTAAAGGTGTAAATAAATCTAAGAGTGGTCAGCTTTTTTTTTTTACTATAAGCTTGATATAGTTTATGCATTTACCTGCAAAGAAAAAATGACATCCATGGATAGTACAAGACTGCGATAGAATCTGACAATGAAAAATTAAATTGAAATTAATAGAAATAACTATTTTCATTTTATTTATACCTGTTTCCAACATTCCTCCAAAAGAAATTTCAGTCTTTCTTTACTGCAATTGTCAGTCTACACGATCCATTGTTGAATATCGATGTATTTTTATGGTATTTAAATATGTTTGATAGCATATAGTTTCACTATACTTTTTCATGAGCTAAACGTGTTTCAAATAATCATTCAAAAGAGATTTAAGGAATGAGAGCACCAAATCCCCGCGCCGGCCGGATAAACACGTGGCGTTGTTTGTGATGGAATGTTGTATAGAGTATTGAATGGGTAGCGTTATCTGATTGGCTGAATTGAAGTATGTAATTTTTTACGTTTTAAAGTAAAAATATTAATGTTTGAAATAAATGATGGAATGTAGGAATATTACAGGAAATATAGAAATACCAGGGAAGATTGTAGGAGTGGGGATTGATATTTTAGGCAGAGTGTCATTTACTGCGGATCGCTATAAGTTGTAAACAACTGCAGTTTTGACCTATAAACGCCATGGGACCCTGTATTTTTTCGGGCTTTTTTATAAGCGCTTAGAATAAAGTTTAAAATGATGCCAAGGATTTGTCTGAAATTAAATTAGTATAGTACTGAGAGGGCAAAAGGTTTGTATAGAGTTCTATGGGAAAATAATTAGTGGTCTCTTCCCTATATTAAGTCTGTCTTTACTGCAATTCTCAGTCTACACGATCAATTGTGGAATACCGATCCCGATGTATTTTCATTGTATTTAAACATAAGTTTGTTTGGTAATTGAATATCATCTATACTTATAAATTAATAAATTTTGCAAATAAACTCCGAAACGGGTACACCAGAGTTCTTACTCCCATGAGAATACACTAGATACAAGATGATGTCCGTAAACTTTATTTAGATTTCACTCGCTTAGTAAGAATCATAAATTAAATTAAAAGTCTACTCTCATTTTCTATAAACAGCCATAAAATAGCAAAAACGTGAGTACGGTGGCGTTTCCGGTTGGCGGATCTATGTTACTGGCAATTGTTAATGAAACCGACAACTAGCAATCGTTTATTTATTTCATAAAACGTCACCACTGAATAATTCAATCAAAACTTGATTTAAATGATATAAAAGAAATAAGTTGTGATAACCGATTAAAAAGGGAAATGTGCAAATTATTTTCATCATTCACCGATCTTAATATTGACGGAAGCTTCTAGAACATCATATAGCCCGATGTTAAAAAGAAAAACGATCGAGGCGATTAGCTGCATGAACATAAAAAAGCTTTTGTGTGAATGGTCATTGAAATAATGCTAAATCATTGATAACACTATACATTATGTATATATTTATATATCGAAAGACTATTACATATCTGTAGTAGGTTTTACTAATAAATTTATCGATAAAATTTGTATATATTTCTCACTGAGAGCATCGTGACAACGAACCCGAAGTACAATTTGCGCTTCATAATAAACTTGCTTATATGAAAACAGAAAATTAATGAATAAGTACGTTTTTTACATATCAATAAGGTACATACATATTTATAAACCAAGACCCAAGTACCTCTGAATTTTATACCCCCCCCCCAAAAAAAAATTATCAGTAAAATGTGCATATTCGCTGCTTTTATCCTTGATGGAAATGAAATAAGAGCATCTGAAGTACAATATCCATAACATAGTATAACAGGTTTCTCAATAAACGCCAATTAATGAAATGTTATTTTTCAAGTTTTTACAAAATGGAGGATTGGGGTGGAGAAGTACATCTACAGTACTTCATGCGTGATTTTGATCAAAGTACTTCTTCCTGCTATAAGCCTGTAGGCTGTCAGTAGAAACTACAATATTTTCTGTAGGTAGTGGTACAAATTCAATTCCCGGCGCTTACGCGTGCGGTTTCAAAGTACACTATCATGAGCTCATATTTACATTTGCAAATGCTTTCCTTTATATAACACTATTAAAAGCAATGTGTATCTATATCCGTATAAACACGGGTTCCTCGGGTCATAAACGTTCGACGTAATTTCTCAGTGACGTCATAAAGGGTCGACGCGCAATCAATGGATCAAATATGTGCCGTTGAGTTTGAAAAATAAAACATTTCATGCGTTAAAGATTATAATCAGGAAAATATAAAATATGAATAAGTCATAAATGTAAATATAAGTAATAATGTATCATTTTTAAACATCTATCGGGATATAAATACGGGTTGGTACGAGATCAAATTTACCATAAAGCCCTTCGGGCTTTATGGAATTTGATCTCGTGACCAACCCGTATTTATATCCCGATAGATGTTTAAAAATGATACGAGATCAAATTTACCATAAAGCCCTTTGGGATTTATGGAATTTGATCTCGTGACCAACCCGTATTTATATCCCGATAGATGTTTAAAAAAAGATACATTATTTCTTAAATAAACGTGTATAAATGCTAGTTATCTAAACCCTGCCTCTCAAAAGTCATAAGTTTAATTAAACTGCCTGAGTTATTTTTTGCAAAGCAGATCAAAGGTCAAGTGGATTGTAATACTAGTATTTTTTCATATTTTCTTATTACAAACAGTGCACATGCTAAATAGCATAGACTTACCCCTTAAATATAAAAATTATGCCGTATATCGGCACGGCACTACGAAATGTATCAAGGTCAAAGGTCACGAGATTGGTAACCATGGTAATTAACAAAAGCCATAGTGTCAAGCATTATATATGCAAAATATCAAATCCAGACCTCTCACAATTCTTGAGATATAGGGTGTGACAGACAGACAGACGCCGGCGACACAAAAAGTGTGTTTTGGTCGTCAGTAATGAGATACATAAGAATGATAATGTATGTCGGATCTTACCAGCGTTTTAGAGACCTAGATAACAGGAAAGATAACTCTAAAAAGGCACTTTAATACCAAGGATTTTGAAAATATTGTTTTTCTTTATCAATACATTTCATTTTAATTTCGTATTGTAATTAATTCATTATTGTTTCTTCTATACTGAAGACGTCTTCCCTAATTTTTCAGCCATGTATTTTAGAGAAAATGAGTTATCTTGAATTTTATCTTGATTTTTTTTTTTACAACTTTAATTTCTTTAAAAAAAAAAGTATGTTGAACAGATAAATTTGTTGTTTTGTGAACTTTATTATAAATGTATATGCCATGAAAAGCAAAATTTGTTCTGCTACTAATCAAAGCTCAAATCCTTCTGTGTTCTTTAAAAACATTGAACACGATCACTTTAAGTCCAGGCTTTTTTGACAGAGCGGCTTTTTCAATAAAAATGGAACTCGTAAATTTACTTACCTTGTTATTGGTCATTTGCAATTTTAATTTATTAAAAAACATTCTGATTGTACACACAAGTACCCAAAGTTGATATTAAAAAGATGCTTGAGTTTCTGATTGACAATATCTATGTGGTTTTAGGAGATCAGTACGCAGTTTTACTAAAGGTCGTAAATTTTGTCGTAGACGTAGACGTAAACGTAGACTTTACGAATGAATTTACGTGTGCGTAGATAGCGTTTTACTAAAGGTCGTATCTACGCCCGTAAACGTAGCCTTGCATGTAAAGTTTCTCGTAACTTACGACTGGAACTCTTCGGAAGGAAGGCAAATAAACTATCCTAGTAACGAAAGCTGCGCATGCGTATTAGCTACTTTCGATTACATTGCGAGTCGTCTGCAAGATCATGGATAGAACGAAAGCGAGGAAGCCGAATTGGACGGACATCGAAATGGATGTACTAATGGAGGCATATTGTAACTCCATAAGGATTATTCGAGGTAAATTTTCTCCATCTATTACCTCTGATGCTAAGAAAAGAGCATGGGAAGAGATAACAGAGAGGTTAGTTTTTATTTTGATATTTATTTAGGCCCCATATTTATTTTTTGCATGTATCTGATTCTATTCTATACGTTAAATTTGCAACAATGCAAAAAAATAAATTTATAAACGGCATAAAGAAGATTCCTACTATACATGAATTCAATTGATTAATTATTCAAAAGACACTTCTGTGAGTGAAGACATGTCCATATTAATATATCACACTGTATGCATTAGGCCTAAATCTTTGAAATCGTGTAATGGAAACGTTCCATCAACTGACCAAGCCGTCATAAAATATCATTGAGATTTCACAGTTTTAATTTTTTTCTCAATAAGAGTTGATGTACATAATCCGCCACAATTAGATCCGCAGATTCATTTCAAATAGAAAGCGAAAGTAAACAGAAGGCGATAGTGAGCTGGTGAATCGAAGATGGAGAGAAACCCATATGTATGTTCTCTTATAAAAAATGTATCCATTTAGTATATTCTGATAATATGCCACCCCCTGTTTGTAATGCATGTATGGATTATTACAGGGCGTACTATTTGTCAGTCTGAATATGAATCCTTATCCATGTTTTATCACCATTTCAATTTTCATACAACAAAACAAATATCGTGGATTTCAAAATTATGACGCACTGTAATTAACAAATACGAATAGAAAAATAAACAGCAATACCATGATTCATGGTCACCATGAATACTGAAGACGTATACACTAGCTGGTATACTGTATACCGGTACTAAATACATGTACATATTATATGCCTGTATGCATCCTTGGCAGTGCAAAATTTTCCACTGTATTTACAATATATATATATATATATATATATATATATATCCATTTCAAATATAAAATTTTTATTTTTATCATTATTTCATTAGGTAATTAAAATATTATTAAAATAACTCTTAGCATTAAAATAAATGCAGAGTGAATGCTGTAGCAGTATCATGCAACAGAACATTGGATGAAACCAAAAAGAAAATACAGGATAGTCTGTCCAGTGTGAAAAAGAAGGAGGCTTTCCGAAAGAGAGAAGCATCAAGAACAGGTGGAGGACCCTGTTCAGAAGTGATTTTTAAGCCATGGGAGGTGACTGTGAGTATTTGGTAGTGGATAGAAAGCTTACTATAAAAGTTAAGTAAAAGTGAAATGAGTGAATAAAGTTTATACACAGGATCAAATGAAATGTTCAAAGAACCTGTCTTTAAAGTTTCGCATTTTTAAAAAATTACATCACAAAAGGAATATTTCTAGAAATGAATCACTAATTCATTAAATGGAAACAACATTCTATGTTTTTTATGGAAATAAATTTAAGCTTACATACTAATGTACTTTGATTTTTTTAGCTTCTTGGAACAATTCCACAAGAGATTATACATGGCTTAGAAGGGGCAGCAGATACTAGATCAGATGCAGATCAATGTAATCCCATATTACATTTACATTAGAAATCGCAGTATGAGTTAATTTTTTATGACACCATGAATCTCAAACATTTACTTTCATATACTTAATACATGTACAAAGAACTATATCTGTATGATAGAATTGTTGTATGATATTGCAAATCTAGCTGTAGAATTTTGTAAACATACTGAAATATTATTCTTTTTTATATCTGATGTACAGGTCAACCAAAGGAGACAAACTTTGATTTGAATTGTCCCGGAGCAACAGGGGATTGCAGTGCGACATCTAAGAATGTTTCAGGTCATTGGACTGTATAATACATTTTATTATATGACTGAATAATTCCCATCTCTCTGATTGGCTGAGATCCAACAATTTTAGAAAAATACTATTTTATATTGACCTGCTCGTGATCTTCCAGGTCAATATAAGGAATTATTTATTCTACATTGGACCAAAAATAGATAGGGAAATTCCAGATTGATGCAAATAGTTTAGGAAAGTTAGTTCACTTGCTCATGACATCCACTGATATGAACATAACATTAAGGCACATATATTCTTGGGCGAGGGGTTGGGGGGGGGGGGAGGAGGCCTGTACCTCTCCCCACCTTTTGAGAATGTTAAGTTTTAATTTAAATTTTAAGGATAAAAAATTTCAATGTAAGCCTCCCTCCCCTCAAAAAAGTTGTGGACCTTTACATCCCACCAAATAAAATTTTGATTTGGGAGAATTCTTTTCCTTTTTTTAGGGGGGGGGGGGGAGTCAAAGATTTGTTTTTAGGTAAGTTGTAATTTTTTTTTTCCTTTTAATGCCCCCTTTTCAAAATCAATCCCATATATGTGCCTGATATTTATTTTTTCTACATTGCACCTAAACTAGAATTAAAAATTCCAAAAATAATACATCTGTGTTTTTTTAACCCTGTTTCTCTCATTATGTTTGGCTAGTACTTCAGTATATGTGAAGAAGTAAGATGGCTCGGATTGCTTAATGAGTGTATGTCATTTAATCATTGAATTGTATATTAAAACAATTATTGCTGTTTTTTCTGTCAATACGATGATTTAGCCACCTTCGAAGTACAATACTCACCTCGCCCTTCGGGCTCTGTGAATATTGTACTCCTTAGGTGTCTAAATCATTGTATTGACCTCAAAAACCAGCAATAATTGTATATTGTTTATAGTAACTGTGTTTACAGTCATTGTTGATTTTATAATCAAAATCTACATTTTTTGCCCCCCCCCCCCTCCACCATGAAATTTCACTGTCCAACTATCATGGTCTATTATTTCTTCATTCCATCATATTTAGTTTTTTAGTATTATAATAAAAAATATTCATCATTTTTGATAAAAATTGAAAAGTTACATATAATTGGAATTATCCTTATTTATGAAAGATACATTTTATTTTAATCACATATGCTATCTAATATATAACATCATGATCTGGAAATTTTAGAATGTGTGGTTGACATACATGTAACTTCTGAAGAGTCTTCAACTCCATGTACAGGTATGTATGCATGCATACTTGATATCTGATTCTGACACTAATTCATTCATTTAAGGAATGTTTTTAAGTTTTGTGTGAGTTATTGGTGTGTAAATCACACAGACTTGTCACGTAGGCATATTTCATGAAGCGCGCTAGCGCTTCATGAAAAATATGCTTACGTGCAAGTCTGTGTGATTTACACACCAATAATTCACACTAAACTTAAAAACATTCCTTATATTTACATTTTACAAGTTTAAAAGCACCAATAATATACTCAATATTTGAATTTCTTGCTGCCCTATATTGTTACATTTTTATTAACGTCTCTGTAGCCTCATTGTGACGTCACTTTTACTCGAGTTTCACCGTGTATATTTCTATGCGTGAGTATACACAAAAATGACTTTCAAATCAATTTCACAGTTGGCTTAGTAGAAAACACAGCAAATGTAAATATTATTAAATGATGTTACAACTTTTTATTTAATTATCAGGATTTGCATATAGCATTTAATTGAATATATATACGGTAATAAGATAAACCACCAAGGTTTGTGGTTGGATATTCAATCAAGGGTTTATGGGGATTTACCCCGGGTTGTATTCTATACACCCTTTGGCCTAGGAATAATGAATTTATTTCCTATGTAACAAATAAATTCTTTGTAAACATAAGTCCTATCACGCTACACGCTACTCAATTCCTAAGACAGTTTGCAGGCAAGAAAATTTTATAGACAAGATCTTTCACATCTGTTTTCATTTTTATTTCAGCCTTGCCATCACAAGCATGCAAGAGAAAGAAGAGTATGGAATCAGTAGGAAAGAAGAAGACTGAAGACTATGGTAATAGTTAGCAAAAGAATATCCAGGGTGCATTAATCATAGAAACAAAACATCAAAATTCAAACTTGTGAATATTCTAGTTATTAAATTTCTGAAATAAAATATATATAGCATTAATTGAAATAAAATAAAACTAAGTACAACTGTCACAATTTGTAAGGGAAAAAAGGTCTCAATTTTATTAGTTTCAACTGGTAAACATTTTTAGCACTGACATCAATCTAATGGATTTATTGTAATGTTGTTATGCTTCCTGAGCTGGTTTTTAATATGCCCTTTTTTGCAGAAAATGGAATTAAAGAACTTGTCGATTTGAAAAAGAAAAGATTAGAAGTTGAGGAAAGGAAGGCTCAAGCGCTGGAGAGAGCTGTAGCAATATTGGAGGGATGGCAGAATTTAGAATCAGGATTGTCAGTTCCTTCAGTTATTTTTTAGCTCACCTGAGCTGAAGGCCCAAGTAAGCTTTTCTGATCAAAATTTGTCTGTTGTCTGTCGTTGTCATAGTTGTTATTGTTGCTTTTCACATTTTCATCTTCTCTAGAACCAATGGGCCAATTTCAGCCAAGTTTGGAATAGAGTTTCCTTGGGTAAAGGGGATTCAGATTTGTTAAAATGAAGGGCCACACTCTTTTTCAAGGGGAGATAATTAAGATTCAAAATTGTTCAAATTATAACCCCAAGGGATAGGGCCAGGCCACAACAGGGTGTCAAAGTTCAACATAAGAATATATAGGAAATATCTTTAAAAAAAAATTCTTCTCAAGAATAGCAAAGCCACGATTAATTATATTGGTTTTGAAGCATCCTCAGGTAGTGTAGATTCAATTTTTTCAAATCCTGACCCCGGGTCAGGGTGAGGCTACAATAGGCAGTTACAGTCTTACATAGGAACTTTTCAAAACTGAATGTTTTTTGATTTTTCTAAGCCAATATGCTCAGGTGAGCAATGTGGCCCGTAGGCCTTTCGTTAAATTCTTTGTCATCAACATTTGATTACACTCTGTATATTTTGCCTAAAAAGAAAAACACTTCTCTGTAAAACAATTTTCAAAAAGTTGATACATGTATATGGTTACATTGTTTTTCTCTTCTACGGTACCAGATACTAATGTGAAAATAGACAAGAAAATAATATTTATAGATTATTTATTTTAACTTTAAATTATTAAATTCAAAGGCAAAATACAGCGAGTTCTTCATTATTTCAGTTTGTCCTCCTTTCTACAAAGTAAAACAAATTTTGCTATGAAATAAAAGTTACTTGAACTAAAAAATAACCATCAAAGGCAATTAAATTTTATGCACTTACAGTGCTAAGTTATATCCCGGACAATTTAAGGAGGCTCTAAACACCAAGGAAATTGTGTTTTGGACTTTAAAGAAATATACATGTATCATCTAAAGGTGTCCATGAATACTGAATTTATCTAGTGGGTACCTGTCATTTCCAGGATATGTTAAAAGATAATGAAGTGGTAGTGAAAGAAATCACTGCTGTTTACTTACATTTGGAAAATACCTGCAAATAATGCATTCAATTGCTTTATATTACAGTGTAGTATAATTTACTTTAATAATACTTAAATCTAAATCAAATGGTGATATTCACTGTGTATTTCCGTTTAATTCACATTAATCTATGGGTAGATCACTTTAACTGCATAAAACTAATAGGGAATTAGAACTCTCCTGTGCGCAGTGTTTAGAGTCTCCTTAAATGTTGCCTGTTATTAAATTTACTTAAAATCTTGATGCAATGTGTTGTCTCAGGTCTCTGGCTGACCGCAGAGGTGCTCCTCCATAAACATAGTTGTTGTGTTGTAATACAACTTGACCACCTTGTTGTAAGGGGATTCTCTCCTCAATGGCCTTGTTATGAAGTCTGCAACATGTCTCAATGACAAGTGCACATTTGGTCGGTGTAAATGGCAGACATCCTCCACTCTTGTGAAGACATCTGCAAAGTATGAATGGTTTGATTGATCAAATTCTCAATTTAGCAATTATGAAGGCTAAATTATGATTTAGTATATATTTTACTGCTTTTTCATTTATATATTGTTCATATATGGCTTTTAAGGTAAATATGAGCACTCGTTCTTGATGGAGATAATAGGGAACTAGTTTCTCACGTAAACTAATGATACTTATACAACTTTATGTTACAGATAATATCTAATGGAAGATAATTATGATGTTTTGAAAACTTATCACATGCCTAAACCTGGATTTAAGCACGCCAAATGCCCTCTCTATAACATTTCTTGTCTGGCAGTGAACATGATTATATCTTTCCTCCATTTGAGTAGAAGGGTTACTGAAGGGTGTCATGAGGAAATCTTTCAAAGGGTACCCAGAGTCACCCAGCAGCCATCCGCCTTCTGTCAGGTTAGCCATAATGCCTGGAATGTTGGAGTTTGACATGATGTATGCATCATGCGCACTGCCTGGGAATCGGCAATTGATGTTAAGAAATCTGAAATAAGAGTATAACATCGTATGATCGTAAAGAAAATTAAGCAAGAAGAGAAACAAAATGTTCTCCATTTGAAAATGAATTACAGTAAAACTTGTCTAATTCAGACACTACTGGTTCCAAAGAAAATGACCGGATTACACAACATTTCGGATTAGACAACATTTTAAACAAATAAATTTACTGAAATTGACATAAAGATAATATCGTATTAAGCAAGATTTTGGATTACACATCATCTGGATTAGACAAGGTTTACTGTATATTTGTAGATGGAGTGCATTGTACAAATCGCTAACAATATTTGGATAGACCTCATCTCTGCGTCCACTACCCCTTGGATATTCAGGGCATGAAAGTTCTTTCTTGACACATAGATGTGTTCGTCATCGCTACTCATTCCTTTGATAGGGATAAGCGTCCCGTCTATGGCTCCTACCACGTTGGGGAAACGGGCGATGCAGTAAAATTGTTCTTTCATTTTCCTTAGAGAGATCACTGATGATGGAAATTTAATGTTCTGCAAGTGCTCACAAAGGGCTTGACACACCCTTGGTATACATACAGAGACGAACGATTTCGAAACCCCATGAATGTCTCCAACTTCGGAAAAGAAATCAGCCTTTGCGATGTAACGTAACGTACATAACACCTGAAAAGGAACCATGAGACTTCCTTTTAAAGAAACAAGTCACATTTTTATGCCCCGCCATGAATATGGCATATAGTGTTTGTCATGTCCGTCTTCCGTCCTTCCGTCTGTCCTTCCGTCGCGCTTTGCGTTTAGCTCAGTTCAAAGCTCATTTTCAAAGAAACTATCCAAGATATTTTCATCAAACTTCATATGCTGATAGATATTGATGTGAGCTATGCAACTGGATCAACATTTTTTGACCTTGACCTTTCCTTTGACCTTAACCTCACTTTTCTTAAATTAGTGTCAAACTTCATATGCCATACATACTGATGTAAGCAATTCAACTGCATCAACATTTTTGACCTTGACCTTTCATTTGACCTTGACCTCACTTTTATCAATTTGTGTTTAACTCAGTTTTAAAGAAACCATTCATAGTATTTTTAATTATCAAACTTCATATGCTAATACATACTGATGTAAGCTTTTCAACTGCATCAATATTTTTTCACCTTGACCTTTCCTTTGACCTTCACTTCATTTATTTTAAATTAGTGTTTAGCTCAGTTTTTAATAAACCATTCAAAATATTTTTATCAAACTTAATATGCTGATACGTATATGTAAGAACTATTAAACTGTATCAAAAATGTTTGACCTTAAATGTTCCTGTGACCTTGACCAAATTTTTCTTAAATTTGCATTTTGCTTAGTTTTAAAGAAACCATTTAAGGTATATTTTTATGTAAGCTTTTGCACTCATACATAATTTGGTGAGAATTTATCATCTATATCCAACTTTTTAGATTTCAATTTTAAAGAAAGTATTCAAGATATTTTCATCAAATTTCATACACTAATACAAATTTTCATGCTGCATTACTAATATACCCTCGGCGGGGCATTCATGTTCTATGGACATATTTCTAGTTACATTTATATACGTATGGCACCGTGGCATATTTCTGCCCCCAACATGCAAAATAAATTATTTAAATAATATAAGATATGAGTATTTTTACTTGCACTCAATTTGTATTGGCATTAAGTTTATTTACATCTAGTGTCATTACAGTGTACAGTTTTCCTTTGATATGTGTAGCATATCAGAATTTTGTTTATGTAAGTTTAAAATTATGTTTTTTTAATTCTTATACAGCTTTAATAATGAAATATAGGTTGATAAATAAAAGTTATATAAACAAATTAAATTACAAAAGTGTCTGTGTTAATTTAATTGACAATTTTGTTAAATTAATTTTTTTTCCCGCTAAAACTCTGTTTAGCGATTGGTGCAGACCTATCACTTGACTGGCAGGCGCAGATCCAGGAATTTTTTTCCGGGGGGGGGGGGGAGGGTCCATCCCAGTCAAAAAAAAAATCCAACCGAAAATTTCTTGACAAGCAAAAAAAAAAAAGACAAAAACAAAAACAAAAAAAAAAAAACATAAGCAAAAAAAAAAAAAAAAAACAAAACAAAAAAAAACCTAACTAAATAACCCCCCCCCCCAAAAAAAAGAAAAAAACAAAACAAAACAAAACAAAAACAAACAAAATTAAAAAAAAACAAACAAACAAAATTTAAAAAAAAATTAATTCCATTTCCAAACGTATCAGTTTGCTTCAGTATATACCTTTAATAACTATGCAAATTCAAGGAGGGGTCCGGACCCCCGACCCCCCTCTAGATCAGCGCACGACTGGTGACCATTGGCAGGTTTTTGAATTTCTTATGGTGTTGGTCACTCCTGTTCCGTGCTGTTGTTCCAGCAGGTTGTATTAAAAGTCTATTTTATTTTTAGAATTTTTAGATTTTCAGTCATTGTATTTTTGACGTTTTGTTTGATATTTAACTTTGAAGTTAAAGTATTGGTTTAGGATAAGATTTCGGCATTTCTATATTTTCAGTAGTTAAAATCTTGCATGTTTAATTCTTTTAGAGCAGCACAGCACTTTATAAAATATATCTAAAAAATTATTGGAAAGCCTAAATTCCATAATTTTGGGAAGTCTTTTGTTAATTGTACTTTGTAAATATACCTGTAAATAATTTTTAAGTAATGTGCTAAACTTTGATAAGAAATTAAATAGGTTTAGTTGATATCACTTTATAAATTAAATTTATACTGTCTAGTAAGCTTTTATGACATATGAGTTCATAAGTTAAAATACGCATTTAAATGAGAGAGAAGATATTTTATGACTGGTGTTTCCTATTATTCTGAGAACACAAGAATAATGTATATATCTACAATGTCTTGTGCATGAAATTTTAGCAAGGCCAGGAATACATATATCAATTTATTTATACATGCAGCTATATGGATGATGAGTACGACCTAGCTGCTTTGAACTTAACAACATGTGTTATATATAGTGTTTTATAACTTGAATATATACAAAACTGAGGTTTACATGTAAAATAAAAGAATTTATGTAAATGGGGCCAGAAGAAAAGAACCTTGTAATTTTAATGTGGTTTTGTGTAGATTGTGAGCCCCCCCCCACCCCCCTTAAAATGTTTGCCGTCTTCGTGAAAAAAAATTCAATACAAAAATTGAACCCACTTAAAGGTTATCTTTGCATTGAACGAAACATAGCGTTGCTCATGTAAGCCTAACGTTAGATTTAAACTTAGAAAAAAAAAAACACACACACACACAGTGCATGTATAAGAACACGTGTGTACATGTGTTATGTAAAGAATGAATGCTCTATCAACAAGAAAAACAGGTTTTTGTTTTTTCCTTAATTTTTAACAACATAAGGGCACTATTTTTTCTTAATAATTTCCTTGAAATATATTCTGTGGGGTAACAAAAGTGAAACATTTATCCGTTTAATATATAAATATCTAGCTACTTCTGCCGGAATGTTTGTTTCCTAGACCTAACGATTCCTTGTTTAGAAACTCCCGTTGCCATAGGATGTGACATGGATGCGCTTTCAGTTTCAATGTTTACAATATTACCTGCAACTGAGTGGGGATGGCATGAGATCTTTGCGTATATGGTCGTAGTTGCTCGTCCACCCCATCAATCATGTCAAAAATTACTCTTCGAGGGAAACGGTACCTCGAAATGAGCTCCGAATCATTCAAGGAGTCCAGTGGTTGGCTCCTATCGCGGAAAACACGCTGTTGTCTTAAGGAACGCTGCATAATTAAAATTGTCGCCATTTTTATTTACGCTAAGTGTTTTTCTACGACTGCTATAGGGCACACGTAGATTTTGACGTAAATCTACGTTAAATCGTAAGATACGACCTTTAGTAAAACGCAAAATCGACGTAAGTTACGGCGACGTCTACGTTTACGTCTACGTTTTGACTTACGACCTTTAGTAAAACTCGGCACAGGTCTTCCACCAATCTGTTGGAATACCCATGGGTACCAATTGCGCCCCGTTATTAGTAGACCTATTTTTGTGTATATATATATATATATTGTGTATATATACAGATTCTGTGTGAGGACGATCGATATGTTTGAAAAAATATCGAAATATCGCAAAAAAAAATTCTGACTTATGTTTTTCTATGTGTACCTAACATGTTGGGTTTATTATACAAAATACACTAAATATAGATACAAAGATATATAGATACAAATATGAAATTCATAATAATTAACACAACTTGTGTAAAATAATTTTGCTTTATCACAGATATACAACTTCTTTAAATAAAGTTTTCTTAATATCGTATCTTGGCTCAAATATTGTGATACATATCGTATAGTGGCTCAAATATCGTGATACATGTCGAAATAGAAAACACTGTATCGTCCCAGCCCTAAAAATCTTATACATAAGAAAAAGAAATCTCTTGCTGTGGCCTTCAACTCGACATTTAGATAGATCGACGAACGTATTATCAATTAACAATAGTTATTTCATTCATATGTCGACATGATATATCCCAGTGAGCTTGAAATAAAAAAATACCACAGAATCTGATACGTGTTTCATATTTGGATATTTTAATAGAAAAAGACGTTAATGGTAATCTGACAACCAAGCTTTATGATAAACGTGATGATTTTAACTTTCCAATCGTCAACTTCCCTTACTTACCAGGTATACACCAATATACCCTCGTCTCCTGCATATGGGTGGTGTCACCAAGAGGGTTCAAAGTTTTACATAGGAATATAAAGGAAACAACCTTGTATCCTATGGTAGTGTAGATTCAATTTAGTGAAATCATGACGGCGGGGGGGGGGGGGGGTAGGATGAGGTCACCATGGGAGATCAAAGAACGGCAAAATCACGATTAGTCATATTAACAGGGGATCAAAGTTATACAAAGGAATATAAAAGATAAATCTATAAAAATTTTCTTCTTAAAAACAGCAAAGCCATTATTAGTCATATTATTTCAGAGGCATCCTTAGGTAGTGTAGATTCAAGCCTATTCTAATCATAACATCCCCCCCCCCCCGAACCACTTTAATATTTAATTTTTTTTTCAAAACTGAACTGATTTCTACTTTTCTCCAAGCCATAGTGCTCAGGTGAGCGACTTGGCCCATGGGCCTTTTGTTAACAATTATTCAGAAAGAGTTATCTTTCTAAGGCATAAAAAAAAGATGCACAACACAATGTATTCATTAAAAAACAAGAATAGTAAACATTTTTATTAAACTATGAAACTATGACTACGTAAAATAACTGCTGTGACAAGTTTTACCTTTTAGGTTTTTTTCTAGCTGTCTTGTTAGTTCACTCAATCACTGTACAGTAACAGTAGTCCCTCGTGGTAACACCTGGAATCAACAATTCCACTTATATACTTATTTTTAAGTTTGATTGTAAACTCAAAGAATTTATTGAAGAGATATTAACAAATATATGTGATAGGTTTGCAATACAAATTTAAACCTCAAACATAATATCCAGTATATTAACCGATCTCATTTCTTCTTTGAAACTGATTATTTAAAATCCTGAAGTTTTTTATGGGATTTTTCCTTTATACGTTTTTCTCTGATACACCTAAACTGAACAAAATATAGATATTCAAAAACATTGTAAGGCTTCAAATCTAAAACTTGAGAAAAACTGTTTAGATTCCCCTTATTTACTAGAAATTTACCTTATTTTCGGCTTCTATTTTTTTTCCATCCGCCCCCTGAAATATTTGTCGAAATTTAAGATGTCCCAGTTTTGCTTCCTTAACAAAAGATGTTTGTGAAACACTTATGCCCCCCCCCCTGGAATTTTTCTAAGTTTAAGGGGCATAACGCTGTCAAAATTGGCTCGATCGTACCCAAAACAAAACTTGACCTAGATATTCTTCTGATAAATCTGTATATCAAATTTCATTTTAGTATGTGCAACCTCTGGGAAGAAAATGAACGGAAATGTTGGTCGACCGACAGACAACAGCAAAGTAATATGCCCTCCCTTATTAAAAGGGGGCATAAATATATGCCCTCCCTTCTTAGGAGGGGGCATAAATATAAAGCGTCTTTTATAGTGTTCTCTAGCTTAGAATGCCATTTGTTCGTTTTGCTGTGTGAGAGAAAGGGTCACTGCAAAATGAATTAGCATTTGGTTTGAATTTCCTAAAGACCGAAGGTCAGGGTCTTGCTTGTCGAATCAGGTGGTGTTCTCTGTTCCTCTTTTAAAAAATTAACTTTTTAAGTGTTCATTAATTTATTCAATTTTTGGTGGGATAGTTAGGTTAAGATTAAAAGCACAGGTTAGACCTGTAAAGAAGCACTGAGCTGTATTTACACGTATATTCAGTGAAACGAAATCATAGTGTACATCACAAAGGAAAGATGAGTGTTCAGTATACCATTGTGTGTTATTGTAGCTATGGCTTATCAACACATCAAGGATGCAAGCGTCTCCATATGAGTGAAAAATTCTCCAGTGTTTAATTCACGTTAAACAACAAACAATCAATCAAGGATGCCGAAGAATATTTAAACTCAATGCTAAAGCAATCTACATTTTCTTACAAGAGGATTTCCTCAGCGGGGAAGAAGGATACTTCAGAAAATGAGGAAATCAGATGTGCTTTAGCATCGATTTAACAATCAATCCTAAGGAGTTACAAAGGATGATATAAGGAAAATAAGTAAAATATAGTGGCCGACTTTAAGGATTGTATGTTGTTTTAATCCCGTTCGAGAATTTTTCACTCACATAGAGATGACACCATATACCGGTGAAGGGCTTCAGATTTAGACCTTTATTCGGCAATCAGGGCCATTGAGCAGTGAGGGATCTTTATCATGCAAACGCCTATCGTGACACGGGGCCTCGGTTTTTAAGGTCTCATCCAAAGGACCCGCAACTTTCAATTCAGAGTGCCGAGCGCTTGGCGAAGGAATAGTTGCTTCCTAATTTTAGCTCTACTGGTCAGAGACAAGAGGAGCTTATGCGTCCGTCCGTCTGTCTGTCAAGCTGTCCGTCCCTCTGTAAACAATTTTTCAAAACGCTACTCCTCCTACAGTTTTGGTCTGATTTCAATATAACTTTGCACACAAATACACAACACTAAGATATATAATTATTTTTTTTTATTGGTTTTTGATTTCGATGAACGGCGTTGCCATGGTTATTAAAAATAGAAATGTCCTTGAAATACTTTCAAAATGCTACTTTTCCTACAGTTTTAGTCTGATTTTAGTATTACTTGGCACACAAGTAGACTACACTAAGATACATAACGCTTTGTATCAGTTTTGGATTTCGATGAACAGTGTTGCAATGGTCACTGAAAGTAGAAAGTTTCTTGAAATACTTTCAAAATGCTACTCCTCCTATACTTTTTTCTGATTTCAGTATTACTTGGCATACAAGTAGACTACACCGAAATACTGTAAACCAACTTTTATTCGCGACGACTTTATTTCGCGATTTCCCGGGGGTAAACTAGTTCGCGACGATAAATTTTCGCGATCAAGCCTTTTTTGGGTCTGTTGTTAATAGAAAGAGAGACTTTAAGGAGAGGTTCGCTGCGAGAAATATTCGCGATGACGATGCTCTCGCGAACATAATTGTCGATTTTGTTGAATGAGATCTCCATGGTTACTTAAAGCAAAATTTCTGAAAAATTGTTTTAATTGGCTACTCCTCCTACAGTTTTAGTCTGATTGCAATAAGTCTTGCCACAAAAAGAGACTAAACCAAGGATCATTATTCTATTTATTGCTGTTGCAAAGTTTCAAGTCGCTACTTTTATCTTCCTTTATAAGTACAGCCAGTAGAGCTGCAGTCTCGTCAGAGACTTCTGGTTTATCGACATACATGTAGGTTAGTCACGGCCGTGATTCGAACAGACGACTTTCCGATCACGGAACATGCGCTCTACCAACTGAGCTTCCGTGAAGGCCCTACTTTAAGGAAGATGTCAAGAAGTTACCAATGAAGAGTTGACCGTTCCTATAAAGGAAGAGGTTCCGAAAGATCTGAAACCAGAGGTCAAAGTGGAACCGATGTTGCAGAAAGAACAGCAGATGTTGCCAAAAAAAGGAAACAGCTTTCAGGCAAAGTGGATGGGGTTACGATGGACAATGATACCAATATCGAAAAATTGTTAAAACTAAAAAATAAATAAATAAATAACTTCACTGGAGACCAAACTGGAGGAAGTAAACAAAGTTGCCAGCACAGAATTAAGATCACCGATACCAACCAGCAGTACTCCCAAAACAATAACATCAAGATTCTTAACTGGCCAGAATACCAAGGCCAAAAGCTGAAAGAAGAGTTACTATGAACTAAAGTGGCAAGAATAAGGGTTATACATGTACCTTCGATCAGCTGGGACATCAGTGCCATCCATACTATTCCATCCAGTCATTAACACCACCTGTGCCCCCGTGATTGTCAAGTTCAATACTGCAGAGATGAGATAATCATTTATTACAAAGAGGTGAGAAAATAAGCTTTTACAAAGAGGAAAAAGTCAAAAGGAAAACAGTCATCTTGTGGCCAGTGCATTGTACTTTATTATTTAGAGAACGAGACGAGTTCTTTATCGGGGTGGACGAATGTGCAGCACAAGTCTCATGTATTTACGAGGTCGATTTCTCTAAATGATTTGTGACAGGATTCAATCAAAATAAGCACCTCCCAGTTTTGCATTGTGTAAGCTGTATCCGCGGACAGCGTAGAATAGCCGTGTTTCGAGTTATGCCGGAACACCGTTTTTATTCCCCGT